ATTCTTTATGCAGTTCCCCCAATATCAATATTCATTTTTTATGAAAAAAAATCCCTTGTGAGTGTTTATCATGTTCCAGGTACTATTCCAATTGTTGAGACTAAAGCAGGACAGATAGTATACTTACTCTTGTGGAATCTATTTATTTATTCACTTACTTTATTGATAAATTGTTAAATTGATTAATTAAATCACTTGTGGGCATATTAATATAGAGTCTCTTATTTGAACAAGATAACGAAATTTAACATAATGCTGGTTTGAAGAGATTTCTGATTTTTTCTAATGAATTCATTCTAAAAAAATAGTTGTATTTTTATATTTTTGAGGTGCTTCCATTTTGCATAATGGGTGAACTAATTTTCATTCCCACCAGCAGTATATAAGTATTTCCTCTTTCTTTTTTAAAGATTTATTTATTTAATTGAAAGTCAGCATTACAAAGAGAGAGAGGGAGAGACACAGATATTCCATCCACTGGTTCACTCCCCAAATGGCCACAATGGCCCGCGCTGGGGCAGGCTGAAGCCAGGAGACAGGAACTTCATCTGGGTCTCCCATGTGGGTACAGGGGCCCAAGCACTTGTACCATTTTCTGCTGCTTTCCCAGGTGCATTAGGAGGGAGCTGGATCAAAAGTAGAGCAGCCTGGACATGAACAGGCACACATTTGGAATGCTGGCACTGAAGACAGTAGCTTAATCCGCTGTGCCACAGCACTGGCCCCATAAGTATTTCCTTTTCTCCACACCAGTGAGAAGGAGGGAGAGAAAGGGGGTGGGGAAACAGGGAGGAAGAGAGACAGGGAAGGAAGAGAGGGGAGAGGGAAGGAGAGAGAAGAGAGAGAAAGAGGGAGGAAGAAAGACTGCTCTCTTTTGCAGGTTCACTCCTCAAATGCCTGCAATGGCCAGGGCTGGGCTTGGCTGAAGCTGGGAGCCAGGAATTTGACCAAGATCTCCTACATAAATGATCAGAGCTCAACTACTTGAGCCATCACGTGTTACCTACAGTAGCCAGAATCTGGAATCCAGAAAAAAACTGGGATTTGAACCCAGGAACTTTGATATGGGATATTGGCATCCCAACCAGAGGCTTTACTGCTAGACTAAATGCAGAGCCCATTTTTTGGTCTTTTTAAATGACAGTCAAGCTGGAGTGAAATAATACCTCATTGTGGTTTTGATTTACATTTACTTGGTAGCTAGAGATATTGAACATTTTTTTCATGTATTTGTTGGCCATTTGTATTTCTTCTTTTGAGCAGTGTCTATTCAATTACCTTTCCCATTTACTAATTGAATCATTCAGTTATTGTTTGAATTCCTTATATCTTCTGGACATTAAATCCTTTGTCAGATGCATATTTATAAATATTTTCTTCCATTCTGTTGATTATCCTTTCATAAGATTCTTAGTTTAATGCAATCCCATTTGTCTATTTATGCTTTAGTTGCCTGTGCTTTTGGAGTCTTATCCAAAAAAACTGTTGACTTTGTTAATGTCTTGAAACATTTCCCCTATGTTTTCTTCTAGTAGTTTTACAGTCTCAGGTCATGCATGCAGTTAGCTGATACATCTTGAGTTGATTTTTGTATGAGATAAAAGGTAAGTGTAGTTTCAGTATTCTACACATGGATATCCAGCTTTTTCAGCACCATTTATTAAAGAGACTATCCTTTCTGTAGTGTATGTTTTTTGGTGATTTTGTTAAAGATCAATTGGTTGTAGTTGCATGCTTTGATGGAATTAACAGATGAGCAGAAGAGGGCAGAATTACACAGAAAATTCTTTGCAGCTGTGTTTCCTAAGGGTAAATACATTTTTATCTTCTAAAGGGACCTATTTGAGGTTCCATATTGGGGCATTATTTCCTAAAGAGACCTCCTCAGAGTTCCATATTGGGCTGAGTACCTTCCATTTGCCCCTTCAGATCTTACACAGATCCTCCTTTTCCTTGTTCATTCTGCCCAGGGAAGATGACCAGATTCCATTAGTAGGCTCTAATGCCTTCTATATTCTAGTTGGGTCTTGGTGGTCAGAGGGAGGAAGGAGAATGAGTTCAAGGTATTTATTCCTGATATTCCTCCTTTGAGTTCAACTTGAACTGTCACTTTCATTTGACAGGCCTTAAACTCCCCTTAAGGCAGTTGCCACTGTTGAGGCCTCTGTCTTTGCGGGTCCTAGTAACCTTTTCCTCCATCCTCCTTGCAGGTCCAGGGTGGTGACTTCTCTGCTGCTGTGGAGTCCCAGGTCCCTATACTAGCCTCCTCATCAACCTATACTCCAGCTTTGTGATTAGTCCTTTATAAGTTAACCTTACCTTCTTGGAATTACTTTCAGTGTGTTCTCTTTCCTGTTTGGAGTATGACTAATATACCTACCATGCTACAGATTGGGAATAAAGAAGGAATGGCAATTAGGACCATGTGAACATATTTCTTATTATTCAACTCCATCACAGCCCTGGGGACTGTCTTATATGTGTTTTATGTTACCTTCTCATTCTCTTCCCCAGGCGTTAACTTCTTGAGGACCTAATGTAATAGCAAAGAACATGTCTACAGCCAATTCAAACCCAAATCAGAAATATTGACTTCATTTTTCCATCTCTCTCTTTTGTTACTTGCCTTATCCTTCCTAGCACTCTCGTCTGTTGGTACTGTAGACTGAGATCATCAGTCAAAACCAGAGGTTTTGTCTCAGTCTTCTTTTGCTCCTAGATCCTAGGACATTGTAAATGCTACACAAATGGTTATATAATAAATACATGGAAGATAAAATTAAGAAAATGTCTATTAAGCCTCATGTTTTCTGGCAGCCCAGAACTGGTGTATTTATCAGCCTTTCCTGAGGATGCTCAGTGCTTTTCTTGTTCCATTCATGTCAGTGCTGCTATATTGTGACCAACTGAGTCTTAGTAAACGGTTTTGTTGTTGTTGCTTTGTAACAGCTTTCTTGAGCTATAATTCATATAAAATTTACCCATTTAAACTGCATAATTCAGTGTATTGACACATTCACGGATTATAAAATTTTATAATTGATTTCTAATTCCATTTCCTATACTCATCTCCCAAATCGATACTCATTAATGATCACCCCTCTTCTCTATCTGGAAAACAATCTACTTTCTTTCTCTATGGATTGGCCTATTCTGGATATTTCATATAAATGAAATAATACAACATATAGTCTTTTGTGAGTAGCTTCTTTCACTTTGCATGTTTTTGAGGTTTATCCAAGTTGAAGCCTGTGTCAGTTCTCCATTTATTTTTAATGACCACATAATATTCTGTATAGGCATACCATATTTTGTTTATCCATTCATCAATTGATGGACATTTGGATTGTTTCTACTGAATACTGATAAATGTTTAACAATCAGTGATCTGAGAAACAAGAAATGCTGACTAATGGCATTTGCTGATTGCTATAGTAGACATTCTCATCTTGGCTTATTGCAAGCTACGTGATGTGACACAACACAGAATTGGAAAGAAATGCTGAAACAGACTCTTGTAAGTTCCTATGAGCAAGTTCCAGTGTACCACTTACCATCTTTGTTAAAATATCACTCAAGTGGTAAGAAATGTGGCTCCATGCAGTGAGGTTTCCATATATTATTAGTTCATAATAATAATAATAAATCAACTGTTAACAACATTTATTGAGCATTTTCTCTGTGCTAGGCACTGTGCTAACTTTTTTCTTTTTAATTCTTGATTGCCACTCACTTTCTGGGCTTCCAGAACTCCAAACTACCAATATTCTGTGCTTGGCTCACTGTCTTTTAGTTGGTTTACCTGCTGTTTCTTAAATACTTCAAACATAATACGACTAACAACTTTAGTACCTGCTTCTTCTACCTGTAACACATGTATTACAGATATGGACACAGCTCATTCGCTCATTCTCATCAGATCTTCTCACCACCTGACCCCTTGATTTAATCCTTGTCAAGCTTTTTATTTTTTTCTCCACAGCACTGAGCAGTGACATTCTATTACTCTGTATATCTTTTTCTTATTTGTTCATTCACTGTCTCCCCACCATCATGTAAGCTTCATTATGGCAGTGGCTTTGCTTTGTTCACACCTGGATCCCAGTGCCAAGTACCTGCCCTTTCTCATGCTGATTAACTAGGAAAATTGGAATTTTTAAATAAGTATCTCTTTTCTTCCTATTCTTCTCCTGGTACTGTCAGAAGACTGTTAGAGGACATTCTACCTCAGCCCTTGCATCCCTGTTCCCAGTCCAAATTCTTGCACAGGTAGGACTCAGCTGGGAGACAATTCAACAATGTTACTAAGAGTGCCTCTCTGTGGAGCCAAACTAAATGGACCTGTATCCCAGCTCTTGTGTTGCCTGACTGTGTGCCTTGGGTAAATTACTCAATTTCTCAGAGTTTCACCATCTGTAAATTAGATAATAAGTATCCACCTCATAGACCTTTTGTGAGGATTAGTAATAACATGTTAATTTAGAGTGATCAACACAAAACAAATACTCAGAACATCTTGCCTGCTGAGCTCTGAGAACATCTGCTGCAGTAAGCTTGACTTAGGAGGTCATTGGCATGGGGCTGCTGCATGGAAGCCCTGTGCCTTCACACCCGCCTCCTCTGTAGCTCTTTTCCATTGCCCTTAGTACTGGCAATCTGCAAGAGCGCTTGTGGATTGTCCTGCTATCCTAGGTCCTCCTCTGACTTTTGTATTCCAAAGAGGAGCAGCCCTTTGAGCTTCAAGAGGCTGTTATGAGCCTGCTCCTCTTTCCTGGCAAATCACCTGCCTTATCCGCTAGGCTTGGGAAAGGCCTAGAGGAAACCTGATGTTGTGGTTCCCCCGATCAGCTAAGATAAGCTGGATCTGGAGTGTCCCAGGACAGGAGGGAAAAAAAGCCTCCTACAGAGGAGACATCTTTGCACATCAGCCCCAGAACACAGAGCTAAGGACGTGTGTGGGACTGAGTGGAAAAGGGAGGCCATGGTAAGCCACTGGTGAAGGGAAGAGAAACTGCCAGAGTCCACTTTGCTGCAAGCTGTTGCCAGTAGGGTGTCCCGAATCCATGTCCCAGTGTTTTATTTTATACCTTTCCTCCACATGCACTACTCTACCCCCCACCCCAAATGGGTCCATGAATTTGGTGAAAGTCAGGAATTGCTCACCTTGGGAACTTCAGTTACCAATTTCAGGGAAATGCAGTTCTATTCATATTTACTGAACACTCACAGGTCCTGGGCAGTGCTAGTGGGCAGTGCCAGGAATCTCAGGAACCAGTACTCCACAGTCACATCCCAGGAAAATAATCCTGCCCGTCTCTTGAGCATCCTCGTTTCCTCGGAGTCCGCTTCTGTGTTTTGATCCCAGCCAAACGTCAACAGTTCTTCGTATTAGGGCTCCCACTAGGCTTCCCAGGGCCCTCCTGGAAGGAGGGAAGGATTAAGGGGCGGGGAATTGAGAGGGCTGGGGAGGTAAGGGAAGAAGGAGGAGAAGGAACAAGGTGCGCTCCCCTTCTCATCGCGTTCCAATCGGGAGTCAGCGGTGTTCCCAGGCGTCCATCCCGGAGGTCCAGAGACTTCCAGGAACCCCTCTGACGTCCCGGGCCGTGGACTCTGGCTGGCCCAGCGTCTGCGGCTGCCTCCTCCCCCTCTCCGCCCTCCAGACTCCCTGCCTCACTCAGGGGCGTGTCCTGCCTTACCTCCCAGCACAGTGGTCCACTCATCCGGTGACAGCAGCGGCAGCAGAGGCGGCGGCAGCGGCGGCGGCTTAGAGCAGCGATCGCTCCAGGCTTCCGGAGCAGGAGCGGTGGGCGGCAGCGGCTCGGTGCTGGGCACCTGTGCGGAGCCGGAGAAGCAGGACCGGGTGGGGTGGTGCCAGCCACTCTGAGGCAGAGAAGGAAGGGACAGCACTCAGCTGAGATTCCGCTACTCGCAGTATTCGCCGGCTGGCAGGGGAGGTGGCACGGCGCAGGGAATATTGGTGGGGAAAACATGTGCAAGGACAGCTAGAGGCCTTTGGTCCAAGTGTAGAGACACAAGGAAGACTGTGCCTGGCACCATGACAGCGGCCCACCTGGACTTTGGGGAAGTGGAAACTTTCCTGGACAGGCACCCAGAGTTGTTTGAAGATTATTTGATGCGGAAGGGGAAGCAGGAGATGGTGGAGAAGTGGCTGCAGAGGCACAGTCAGTGTCAGGAGGCATTAGGCCCAAGGCTGGCTCCAGCAGGCACCAGCAGCACAGTTCACGGTGGTGGCAGGGATGGCAGCGGTGTTGGTGGTGGCCCTGGACCCTGTGGCTCTGCCAGCAGCCAGCCCACTTCTGGTGGTGGGGACTGTGGTGGGGTTCCCCTGAGTCCGAGCTGGGCCAGTGGCAGCCGAGTCGATGGGAGCCTGCAGCGGAGAGCTTCTCAGAAAGAGCTAAGGAAGAGTTTTGCCCGTTCCAAGGCCATCCATGTGAACAGGACCTACGATGAGCAGGTGACCTCCCGGGCCCAGGAACCCCTGAGCAGTGTCCGGCGGAGGGCACTACTCCGGAAGGCCAGCTCTCTGCCTCCCACCACAGCCCACATTCTCAGTGCCCTGCTGGAATCAAGGGTGAATCTGCCTCAGTACCCCCCAACAGCCATCGACTACAAGTGCCATCTCAAAAAGCATAATGAGCGTCAGTTCTTCCTGGAACTGGTCAAGGACATCTCCAATGACCTTGACCTTACCAGCCTAAGCTACAAGATCCTCATCTTTGTCTGCCTCATGGTGGACGCGGACCGTTGCTCTCTCTTCCTGGTGGAAGGGGCAGCTGCTGGCAAGAAGAGCCTAGTCTCCAAATTCTTTGATGTGCATGCAGGAACTCCACTGCTGCCCTGTAGCAGCACAGAGAACTCAAATGAGGTGCAGGTCCCCTGGGGCAAAGGCATCATTGGCTATGTCGGGGAGCATGGAGAAACGGTCAACATTCCTGATGCCTACCAGGTAGGACTTTGCATTGTCCTCTCCTCCCTGAGCCCCACTGGCTTGGGAACCAAATGTTGAGTTACCCTTTGGCAACCAGAAGCACATTAGTTTAGACTAGATTAGATTAAATTAGTTTTACAGTCGTGTTATTTAAATACCTTCTTGAATTTAGACTAGTTAGAACATTACTGACTCATCTTTGATGTAATGGCCTTTCCTAACACATAGTGGCTTATGGGAAATTCATATGTCACTCAATAATACCATATGTGTCTGTCAAGATACTTTATCCTTAAGAATATCAGTGTATGGGTTTAGAATGCATTTGGGACTTGTTGGTGGAGAAGGGGGAGATGTCTATTTCAGAATTTCAGTGTTAGTCTGAAGGAAATGGGTATTTTGGTGTTGGTGATAGCATTTGGGGATCATAATGCATTTTCAGTCTCTAATTTAAGGTTGGAAAGGGACATGGAATGCCTAACTACTTTCCTATTCCCTGCTATAGCTTGAGTTTGCATGAGTTCCAAGGTAGAAAAGAAGAGGAAGAAAAGAGGAAAATGGGGAATAAAATAATGGTCCCTCTGACCATCTTTGCCTTCTCAGCATCTGTTTTAACTGTTTTTGTTGAGTATAGAGACTACAGGGGCTAGTTGTCTTTAGGTTTGAATGTAGCATTATCAGTAGTCAGCCTTTGACATGACTGAGAAAGCAGATTTTTAGTTTGTAAAACAAACTAAAACAAACAAAAATTATTGTTCATTTCATAGCAGCTCCAAGGGCCATCAGCAGGGTAAACATGCAAGTGGAAAGGGAAACCCAACATGTTGTTATCTGTTTTTTCTGAACCTTCCAATTTCACAGTGACTTGAACTTGATATTAGGTGCTGGAACTGAAAGCCAGTCGGTTCTTATTTCTTCAGTATCTTCATTGAGCATGATAACACTGGATGTTGCCTTCTATGATACTTCTCAATTTTTTGTAAATGAAATTTCTTGTCTTTGGTGGTGAACATTTTGCAGCCATTGGATGAATACATCTAGTTGTCTCACAGAGCTACACGTTTCTTCAGAGTTCGGCTGCTGTTCATCAGAATAGCAGAAGTGATGGGAAGGGCGCTAAATGCAAACTTTTCTCTATTTCATTTGAAAGTTGGCAGCTTTATACAGAACATTCACTAAAAGCACATTTCAAATTTTTGTCAGATGCCTGTCAACACTACTCTCTAATATTAATATCTGCCTGCAGAATGAGCATTTTAACTAAACTTTTCTTTCTGATCAGGCACATAATTCATTACATCTTTCTTAAGGAACTTGATAGGTTTAGGTCAAGCAACTAATTGAAGATTTTCAACAAGTGTTTATTTCTCTACAATGTTAGAAAGCTATGGAAAAAGTAAAACCATTTAATAATTGATAAGTTGCAGAATCTGTAAAAAATTGGTGAAAAAAAAATCACAAACTATTTCCTTTCCTGTTATTGCCACATTCTTATCTTGTGCTTGGGATAAGAAAGTCCTTTCCCAGTTGGATGATACTTGCTATTAAGTATCAGTATTGCAGGCTTTTCAATTTATTGCCTTTACTTTTTGTACTCCTCCCCAATTGATTTTTTCCCATTTCTAAAACTTTGATTTCTTACTGTTCTCTCCCAGTTCCTGACTTTTATTTAATACTGTTCATATACTGCCATTTCTTCTAGAGCATAATTCTTGGCCTCCTCAGCAGTTAATTTGTCTCTCTGCTGCTTAGAATTGTGGCTATAGTTGTATCATGGGCATGGAAAATCAGGTTTTCAGCAGCTGCTGCTTCTTGTGGGTTCTATCCTTACTTTGCAGAAGGAGTAGAGCAAAGTTCTCTTTTTATAGTTGGAAACTGCTGTTGAGAAAGGAGGTTTTCTTTTCCTGTTTTGCTCAGGGTAGCAATGATGGCTGTAAATAAGACTGTGCTGCTGGCAGAAGGCAAGTAGGGGAAGGATGCTATATGGCTTGGGAATCTGAGGTCTTGGTTCAACTTGCTTTCATTTCAAAATGTTTAAGAAGTTTATTTTTGCTTTCTCCAATAGGTTTCTACTATGTATTCTGTAAACTGTGTGTTTTTCTTATGCATTTTCCCTCTTTGACAAAAACTACGTTTCCCCCTTTATTACAGTGCACTACAGTTACCATTAGTGTGATCTTGGGAGAATTTCATAATCTCTGCATCTCAATTTCCTCGTCTGCAAAATGGGAATAATAATGCCTACTTGGCAAAGATTATTATCATGAAAATAAAAGGAGGGACTAAAATAGGACATGGAACATTGCAGTTACACAGGAAATGGTAACAGTTTATGATAAAAAGATGATATCTGGTTTGCAAGTAGTCTTTATCTCTTTTTCAATTTTTTTTTCCTGTATCTAGGACTCAAATGGACACTCAGCACAATTTGACCAGTCTAATATTTCCTAACCTAATGTTCTGCCCTTAGATTAAGTATTTTAGGACCGGCTTTACATTCACAGAAGGTAGAAATATCTATTCTTCCATTCTCTCTCTCTCTCTCTTTTTTTTTGACAGGCAGAGTGGACAGTAAGAGAGAGAGACAGAGAGAAAGGTCTTCCTTTGCCGTTGGTTCACCCTTCAATGGCCGCCGCGGCCAGTGCGCTGCGGCCGGCACACCGTGCTGATCCGATGGCAGGAGCCAGGTGCTTATCCTGGTCTCCCATGGGGTGCAGGGCCCAAGGACTTGGGCCATCCTCCACTGCAGTCCCTGGCCACAGCAGAGAGCTGGCCTGGAAGAGGGGCAACCGGGACAGAATCCGGCGCCCCGACCGGAACTAGAACCCAGTGTGCTGGCGCTGCAAGGTGGAGGATTAGCCTAGTGAGCCACGGCGCCGGCCTCCATTCTCTCTTTTTTTTTTTTTTTTAATTTTTTTTATTTTTTTTTTGACAGGCAGAACAGTGAGAGAGAGAGAGACAGAGAGAAAGGTCTTCCTTTTGCCGTTGGTTCACCCTCCAATGGCCGCCGCGGCCGGCCCGCTGCGGCCGGCGCACCGCGCTGATCCGATGGCAGGAGCCAGGAGCCAGGTGCTTTTCCTGGTCTCCCATGGGGTGCAGGGCCCAAGCACCTGGGCCATCCTCCACTGCACTCCCTGGCCACAGCAGAGGGCTGGCCTGGAAGAGGGGCAGCCGGGACAGAATCCGGCGCCCCGACCGGGACTAGAACCCGGTGTGCCGGCGCCGCTAGGTGGAGGATTAGCCTAGTGAGCCACGGCGCCGGCCTCCATTCTCTCTTAAAACTCCCCTAAATGTGGTTAACATCTGAATATATCCCAGCCTATAAAAAGTTCTACACTCTGTTCCTCCTAGTAACTCTGGTAAGTTTTTTTTATTGAATTGCAATAACTTTGAATGATTTTTTTCAGTTCTACTGTTACCTCATCTTTTTATATTCCTATTGTTACAGATTTCTTTTAATGACAGGCTGCCAAATCCATGTTCTTTTACCATGATGTTGTTTTTATTCTTCTTATGTATGTAAACATCTTGAAGTTTATACATATACAACCATCCTTCCTGATTGTTTATTAATTACTGTAGTTCCATAGAGTTTCCTGCTTAGATGCAGCTAATGTACTTGGTTCTATGAGATACAGTCCCTATCACAGAGTCCCTGAACCCAATCACTCAATGATTAGATTAACGCTCCTAATCCTTAGGGGTTCATAACATGGGCAAGAGAAAGGCAATGGAGACACCATGCCATTTTGATAACAGGTGACTTTTTCCTTTAATTATTTGAAAGGCAGTAGAGGGAGGGCTGGAGAGAGAAAGAGAGCGAGAGCGAGAGAGAGAGAGTGCGCAAGAGATAGATTTCATCTGCTGGTTTACTCCACAAATGGCCAAAGCCAGGAGCCAGAAAGTCCATCTGGCTCTCCCATTCAGGTGACAGAGACCCAAATACTTGGATCATCTTCTGTCTTCCAAGGTGCATTAGCAGATTGGAGGTACAACAGCCAGGACTGGAATTGGCACTCTGACATGGGATACCATATGGGATGCCAACATAACAAATTGTGTCTTAAACTGCTGTGCCACGATGCTAGCCATCAAGGGTAGAATATTTAATAAAATATTAAAGTTAGATAGACATTTTGGCAGCAAAAACTCATAAATTAATTTTATTATTTTGTGTCACTTTCCTCGATTATTACTAAAAAATAAGGCTTGAAATTAGGAAGAAAGAATTGCAAGTGGAAAAAAAAACATTCAATTTGGGTATCCACTGTGGATCATAGTGCCTGCAATTTATCTTTTTTCCCCTGACAGTTATAAGTTATTAAACAGTTTTCTTTAATATAGTAATGAAAAAATTGCCCTAAAGAGGTTGAAACTAAGAGCACTTAAGTAACAGGTGTTCTCTTTGAGATTATTCTAAGCATTCAGAATATAGCACTTTAAACATTAATAAAAAGTGATGAATTTGATGTTAGTGTTGTTAATGATGACACAGGTGTTTGATGGGTTTGGGCCTGAAAAGCAGCAGGATGTTTTGTTAGGAGTGAGAAGAGGAAAGGGGATGACGCAGAAAGGTTGCAGGTGTGCCAGGCTTTCAGAAGATCTGATCTGTTTACACAACAGATCCATTTATTCATTAGTTCTAACAAACAGACATTGAAAGTCCATATACCAAAGGCCCTGGGTAGAGAGCCTGTAGTTGTACAAAGGTTAGAGGACATACTTCTTGTGCCTCAAGTGACTATAGGACAGGCCCATGTACTGTACACAAACTCATACCAAGCTGTATTTCATAAGTTACAAAAAGTAAATTACATAATTATATAAAGACTTAATGGAGGAGATACCAAACTAGAAACATGGTTAGATTTCCCAGGTGAAGATGGTCATGGTGTAGGGGAAGTGATCTAGGTACAGAAAAATGGCTTCTGCAGAGCCACAGTGATAGGCAAGTACAAAATGTGCATTTTTATTTGGTTAAAGCATACAAAAAAATATGCAAAAGTCAGGTGAGGGCC